ACAAGTTCTTCATTCTCACTGTGCAGATGAGGAGCCACGAGCTTCCAGTGGGTAAATAAAGCTGTCCAATGCCAAGCAGATCTATAGGACTTCAGGACCAGAGCCATGTTCCCTGGCCTCTCACTGCTGTTTCCACCCCATCATGACAGCTTTGTGCAGGGTGGGGCTGATATGTGCAGGATTACACATCTCAGTCCCAACTAACTGTACAGAAAGACATGTTTCATCTTTCGGAAAGCCTTTTCCAACCCAAATCTTCTCTCACACAAGTATACAATTATTTGAATAAAACAGTATATATAGTAGTCATTTATTTATTTATTTAACACATTTTTATTAAGCATCTGTTAAATATTATGTGGCAAGCATAGTTTTAATTACTGGAAGTGTAGTGGTTTATAAAGCCAATAGTTTAGTGGGCCAGAGATGTTAAACAAGTAATCATGTAAATGGATATAAAAACAAAAAGCTATGTATGTATTGTACAAGGAAATATAAAGGTTGAGAAAAGATTATAACAAGGGGCCTGATTTAGATATTGGGGGCAGGAGTTGATGTCATTAGCAAAGATTTCCCAAAGAAGAAACATTAAAACTGAGCCCAGGAAAAAACACTTGCACAATTTTTTTGGATGAATAGGATGAAGAATAGGATGGTGAGGATTTCAGGGAGAGGGTAGAGCAAATGTCAATCTCTAGGATGGGATACACTTGACACATTATAAGCTACTGAATTTAGAAACCCATGCACTCATACATTGTGTTTACAGGGATAAAAAGATGTTACTGCATGTCAGTCATGGTGTGTATAACAGGAATACGGGGTACCTATCACAGATCCTGTCCATAGGATAGCTCAGTTGCAAAGATACATGGTATGATAAAGGCATAAACAAGAATGTCATGGAAAGAGAAAGAGCAACTTAGGGGTACCCAAAACGCTCTGAAAGTGAGTTGAGAACTGGAGTGTGGACGGGTCAGATGGCATAGGAGTGGGAATGGCTTTTCCAGGCAGAGGGAATTGTGTGTATAAAGGTACAAAGTTGAGAGGGTGATGGAGCTCTGGAGAGAAGCTTTAGAGAAGGGCGTAGAAGTTATGTTTTGGACAGACTGCAAGACAAATGGTTTTGTAAATCCTGCTAAGAAGTTTTTGACTTTCCATCTTTAGCAAGCACAGATTTTGGAGGTTTTAGGCAGAAGCAAGATATTTAAAAGTCGTATTTCTATCTCTGTCTATCTGAAATCTATTTGTTCGTCTGCCTGGATGCTTATATACCTATTTGTCTATCTATTTATTTATCTATCTATCTATCATCTATCATCTATCTATCATCTATCTCTAAGTACCTACTTACCTCACATCTGTCAATATCTCATCTATTCCTCTATACTTCTATCTATATCAATCTCTCTTCTGCCTAGCTATTACCCATCTGTCATCTATCCAAAACGACCACATTTTGAAGTTACTGTAGTTGTGCATTGAATCCTCTGCACAACCTGTGCAGAGACCCTGTTGTAAAACACCACCACCAGTGAAAAGATAAGCAGATACCTGCAGCACCAGCAGGGGACGCTCTAGCGTGTCTGCACAGATAACACACTGTTATTTATTATCCTTTAGTTACACTCTGTGGTTCTTATCATTTTCTTTGAGTAATCTAAGCATTTCAGGTAAGGGTATTATTCATTTCTTTATGTGTATATTTACAAACAGTAAATATGCAATATATGTAGATTCATTTGCTACAGATACTTGTCTAAAAATTAAACAAAGATCTCCTGCCAGAATACGAAGAAGCACTTAAAGCTATCTCCAGGTGTTTCTTTCTTCACAAAGTCATTATGGAAACAAGGGTAGAGTTGTAGTGATATTGCCAAATTCAATTCAGATTTAATTTACATTAAAAGTATTGAATGCCTTCCTTGGCAAGCAGCATGCATGGCCCTGGGGAGACAAGGACGGTGAAGATGGGCTCCTCCCTTTGTGGTCTGCAGTGTGCAGTGGGGGCTGACTTGAATGGGATGGTTTTGTTCATCACAGCCAGCGCTGTGAGCGAAGAGGCTCTGGGAAGACATTTGAAGCAGAGCGCACAAACACGCGAAGGCTTATGGATGGAAATACTGTGTTTGGGGAAATTATCAACAACAAACAAAAAGGAACCATCATACAGTGAGAGGAGCTCTCATTTACTAACCCTGTAATTTTGATCAGTGTATCTCCCCATGCCTCAGTTTCTTCAATATTAATAGTGAGAATATTTATTCTATTTATCTCACCATTTTAAGATGTCAGGAGCTTGTTTATCTCAATAAGTGATTTGAGAACAATGAAGTTACATATTGATGTTAGTTTCTAAGGATTTCGTGATTGAGAAAAGAAAGATCTTCCTTTTCTGCCAATTCATGCTCTGCATTTCCTTTTCTGTTAGCAATCCACATCCTGAAACTGTACTTATTTTTCCTCCTTGGAGAAAATGATGGAGAACTTGATGGAGCTGCAGAGGATTGCAAACAACACTGTCTGGGCTTAGTGGGAACATTTCGATTAGCCTTTGCAATTCCACTTCAGGAAGCCCTTCACTAATGAGTAACATTGAGCACCTGAGCAATGAGGATGCCATGCTAAGCATCCACGGATTTTACGTATTCCTTAATCCAGCCTCCTTCACACTATCAGATGAGATAGGATGTCTGTGGAAAGAACAGCTCTGAGCTCGTGGCTGTGCTGAGTTCATCATAGCTGCCTCCGCTCCCTGACTGTGCTTTCCCCAGCTGTGTGTAACTTACTATCAGGGAGCCCCTAGGGCCTGAAAAAAAAATTAAAACAAAAAACTTCAGATGGCCTAACACTTGCAGTCGAAGCAGACATTATTTTGAGAATATTTTGGAAGTTGCACTTGAGTTGTTGCTTCACAGAAGTGAAAAAAGTATTGACATTTCTAAGCCCAGAACTATTTTTTAACAAGCTAGAAAATATAGGAAAAAGCGGGTAGAACGGTTTTCTCAAGAGAATGCAGTATAGCAGGAATGCATACTATTTTTTCCCAGCATGTATTTGGGTAAAATATGTGCACTGAAATTTCAGGCCACATCCTAATGTAGAAATAATCCAAAATATGGCAGATTTATAAGCTAGGCAATTTTTATTTATTTGCTAATGTAGATTCCCTTAAGAGCTCAAACGTTCTACTTGTTACTTATGGCTTCTCCTTGAAAAGACTTACCTGTAAAGGTCTCAGCAGCATAAAACTCCAAGCTGCAAAGTTGTCTCAATTGAGCATTTGCCATAATTCTCTTTTGCCATCAAGTCAGGTTGGTTTGGAATCTACTTGCACTGTACCTGTTTGATAATTAATAATTCACAATTAAATTGGCATTACAAATAAATCAGCATGACTGCAGGCTTGGAGCCTCCCCTCTCTGTGTTATCCTTCCTTTTCTTTGAGGATCTGAAAGAAAATTGAAAAGAAAGGTTTGAATGTCTAAAATCTTCCATTCAAAGCTTTACTTCCCTTAGTTTTGGGATTTCTTTTCAATCTGTTTCAGATCTTTCTTTCAAAGAGAAATTTAGCATGTGCCATTGTCAGCGTCTGTGCCTTACACTGAGGAGTAGAGATGTGTGTGATTCCACACTTGCCCTATAGCTTGTCATTCTCTAGGTGCAGAGACAGGTGAAGCAAGGCAGCATGTTCAATGCCCTGCCTGAGATAGGTCTAAACAAAATGCAGCAGAAGAGACGGCTGCTTCTGCTTTCAGGATATGGGGAGAGGTTAGGGCAAATGGCAGAGGATAGAGGATGTTGGGGTTCTCCTTGAAAGATAGTCATATCGGTAAAGGTAGGTAATCAAGAAGAGACAGTAAAGGAAAAGGAAGGCTATGGGGGTGCTGATGCTTTTAAAACATTCAGCAGAGGACAAGAGGCCAGTGTGTGCCATGTGCTGTGTTAGCGGGGATGGGGCCTGGGATGAGGTTTGTCAGTAGGTTTGGGGGCTTGGCTGCAGAGAGCTTATGTTATGCAGAAGCGTTTGTTTGTTAAACATGGTAGGCCATTACAGGGTAAAGGAGTAAGGAAGAGAGCAGATTGATTCCATGATTGCTTGGAAAGATTGCTCAGGCTTCATGTAGGGGATAGATTGGAGGGACCTCCAGATGGAAAGAGACTAGGTGGAAGGTTCCAGGTGGGAGGCTATTGCAATTGTCTCTGTGAAAATTGGCGAGAAACTCAACCACAACAGTGGTGATGAGAAATCAGAGTTGAGAAGGAATCTAGGCGTTTTCTAATACTGCACTTTGAGTTGAAGAGAATCAAGGCCTGGAGGTGAGACAATAAGACTAGAAGTCATTTTGGGCTTTGTAGTGCTACAGGTACATGAGCATGGTCCTGGCCCATGAGAAGAAAACTCTTGTTTGTGAAAGATGTTTCTTCTGTCATCATTATGATCAGCGTCATCATCATCTTAGGAGCTGACATTTATTGAGTGCTTCCTTTATATCAGTCACTCTGCTAAGCCATAATTTCACCTCAACCTCACAACACAGTGAGTTTAGCTACTACTATCATCCACATTTCACAAACGAGAAAACTAGAGCTCAAAGGGACAAAGGCAGGTCACCTTGCTAACAGTCATGAGGCAAGTGAGGAATTAAGCTAAGATTGAAACCTTGGTCTATCTGAACCCAGAGATCTGCTCCTAACCACTAGGATATCACGCGATTTAAGAAATACAATTTAGAATACAATCTTATTGTTACAGTAGTAGTAAGGACACCCATGCATTACTGGTTGGATCCAGGATTTTCTAACTCTATCAAGAGAGTCAGAAAATTTCACTGAGTTCTGAAGGATGTGTTTTAAGGGATGTTTAGGGATTTTCAGGTTAAAATAAGTGAGAAATAAAATAATTCCAGGATGGAACAACCTGCTCAAGGCCAAAGAGTTTAAAAGGGTCTGAAATGCTCAGAAAATAGTAACTAACTCCGTGTTATCAGCATTTCGAGTGCAATATTGGGGAAGGCTTGAGACTGGGGACAAAGGTCCCTAATGGTTATCAGCTTTCGCCACTGATTCCACTGAAGACAATAAACATGGGGATAAACAGGTGCTCTTGGAAGGCTTTGTGAATATTTTTGATTTTGCCTTTCAATCCACAGTCACACCCCCTCTCAGTTCCTCTACTTCGCACTGATGTTTCCACATCTGCCTCCTGCTATCGCTGAGTTATAAAATAGAGCTCCTTTTACCATTAGTGAACTGCAAATGTTCATGATCATATTCTTGGCAAATCAAGCAACTTGAAATTTATTGTTGAGGACAATATTTATTATAAAAACATGCTGTACAAAACTTTGTAGGATAACGCCTCCTTTTAAGTGTAAAGAGTTATTCTCAGGTGTGTCTTCTATCCTCTTTTTCCTTACAGTTCCTCCTCAGATCATGAATATCTCCTCTGACGTCACAGTGAATGAGGGAAGCAGCGTGACTCTGCTGTGTCTTGCTATTGGCAGACCGGAGCCAACTGTGACATGGAGACACCTGTCAGTCAAGGGTAAGGTGTTGACTTGGGGGACATTTTCAGAGTTAGTATGTTAAAGTCTTGGCTCTTATGTACAGTAGAGCTTCAGGAATCAGAAAACATTACTGTATTTGTAATCCAGTAATATAAAATCAAACAGGCAATATACACCAATTTTTGCTGCCTATTTCATTTCAAAAGGAGGATTCATAGAGGAAATTTGCTCAATTATGGTTTCAGCCATTTTTATGGCCTTAGAAGCCTTTTTTTTTCCAAACTATGAAGAACAAGGGACATAAGAATAACTTCCAATGAAGATGTTAATTTATGAAAGTAGAGATGGGTCAGTTGGTGGTTTGTTCTTTCTGGAAGCAGAGCGCAAAGGCATTACATTGGCCATGAAGAACTTCGACATTATTGTAAATCCAGGAGAAAAAGGGCCTCCTTGCTTCAGCACATTTATCCAGAGCCACACATGTCTGACCTGTCCATAAATAGTTCACCTTGAGTGGAAGAAGGATGATGGAAATGGTTAAGTGCATTTGGGCATGCTGGTGCTGAGCATTCAATAATTGGTATGAAAACATCAGTTAAAACAATTTCCAACTTAATAGCAAGGGAACCAGAAGGACAGTAGGTCTTGTCCTTTTGGAAATAAAATTTGCTCCAACTCAAGCTTGAAGAGATGGGCGCAGAGCCACTTAATGTATTTACGCTGTTACTAAAAGCTGTGATTAGTTCTAGGAATTATACAACAACCAAGAGCTTCCCCAGGCATTAAATATCCAAATATGGAACAAAGTAAATAAGAAAAATGTATAGAGTATGCTTATGTAACATACAAAAAATAATATTGATCTACAAGAAAGTGTAAGAGTAAATCTTAGTAATATTGAGAAAGACAAAATTTTGCCAAGATAAAAAAAAATACCCAAAACTGTGATCTAAATAACTGAAATTTATTTCTTCACATTTCTGGAGGCAAGAAGTCTGAGATCAAGGTGTCGGCAGGCTTGGTTCCTTTCAAGAGCTTGAGGGATTCCCTGTGTATCTGACATGGTCCAAGTGAGAAAAAAAAAAAAAAAAAAGCTTGAGGGAGAATTCAGAATTCATTCCATGTCTTTCCCTTAGATGGTGATGGTTTGCCGGTAGTCACTGGCATTGCTTGACTTGTGGTTACATCACCCTGATCTTTGTCTTCATCTTCATATGGCCTTCTTCCTAGATGCACCTGTGTCCGAATTTTTTCTTTTAATAAGGATATAAGCCATTTTTTATTATGGTTCACACCAGTAACTTTATTTTAACTTTGACTACCCCTGTAAGGAACCTATTTCTAAATAAGATCATGTTCTGAGGAATTCAAGGTGTCATTTTTATAGAGTTGTAACTTAACTCATCACATGCTTCATCAAAATTAAAAACATTCAGTCAAGCCACAGACTGGATAAAAACATTTCTTGTACATAGATTTGACAAATAATTTACATCTAGTTATATGAAGAATTCTTCCAACACAATTCTAACACCCCACCTCAAAATGAACAAAAAATTTGAATAGACAATTCCAAAAGAATATATATTATATGAATGGCAAATGAGCACACAAAAATATGACTAACATCTTAATTATATAAATAAAAATTAAGTCAAAATGAGATACCATTATATAATCCCTCGAAAGACTAAAAGTAAAAAGACTGATAATATCAAGTGTTGGTGAGAATGTGGATACACTGAAGCTTTATATATTAACTCGGCAACTGTAAAGTCATATAAGCACTATGGGAAACAATTTCACACTTTGTTATAAAGTTAAACACACACTTAGCTTACGACCCAGCAATTCCACTCCTAGGCATTTATTCAAGATAAATGAAAGCATATGCTTACAAATGTACATATACAAATGTTTTTAGCAGCTTCATTTATAATAGCTGTAAACTATGAATAACCCAAATAACCATTGTCAGGCAAATAGATAAATTGTGAAATATTCTAACAACAGACTGCTACTCAGCAATTAAGAGGGACAAACCATTGATGCAGACAACCAAATGGATGAATCTCAAAAATGGCATGTTGAGGAAAACAAGCTAAAAGCTAAAACATACATACTGTATGAATTTGTTTACATGAAATCCTATAATAGGCAAAATAATCTAGAATGGCAGAAGTCAAGTCAGTGGTTACCTAGGGCAGGGGTTTGGCGAGCAGTGACTGCAAAGGGCCACAAGAAATTTTGAGGGATGTTGGAAAGGTTCTGTATCTTGAGTGGAATGAAGGTTATGCTGGTTTCAAAATTAGTCAATTAGTCAAAACTGATAAAATTGTAATAATCAGTATATTTCTTTATAGGCAATTAGAGTTCAATTAAATTTGAAATATTTGTATACAGAAATGTAGACAATATGATCTGAATTTTTTTTCCTAATTTGGAATGTTAATTATGTCATTGCACTTAGCAAATAAGAGACTGGATCTTTCACTAGGAGCATCATTCAAGCTTTTGCTGCTCTTCTCTTTGTGAACTGCGAACACATATTTTTTGCTACTGTCTTGTTATAAGGAAGATGATGCTAATAAATTAGTCTAATATTCTTTGTATAAAGACCTCAGATATTAAAACTCATAATGTCTCTATATCGTAAAGTAAAATTAATGAGAATGTTAAAGTATTTGTAAGGGATATTGCAAAACTCAAATTTAATATAAACAAAGCAATAATCTTCCCAAAGACATGGATTCCATGATAATTTTGCCTGAAGTTAGAGATAATTTTAAATTTGCATTATATGCAAAACTATGTCTAACTGTGAGATCAACTTTTATGCATTTGGTAAAATCAACTGTCTTTATAAATGCTTGAAATTCCAGAATGTAGTTATTGGATCCTATACACACAGTTCTCAACATTTGAAAATCTTTTAAAAGGCATTTTTACTTTGTGTATGTTCTGAAACAATTCTCTATAATGGCACATTGGTAAGATTTCCCTGTTAAAATAAGGGAGATTCATTCATCTTCCCAATCTTTTATAGAATGTAATAGTTGCAATTTAGCCTGACTGGAAAATCCTAAATTTAAATGATCTCCCTCTTCTTTAAATCTCACAGACTGTGCTCTACTTTAAAGTTGTCTTTGTTTTCTCATAGCCTTGGCCTTAGCTTTGCTGTCTTTCATTTTCACTATTGTCTTTTCCCTTCCTTCTCTCACTGACATTTAAGTATTTGAACTCCAAAAATTGTTTCCCAATTTGAAAAGTCTGGAAGACAAAGTATTTGTAAGTTTAAAATTTGCATCTGCAGGGTAGCTACTAATATTTATTTTTAAAAAGGTGCTCCTTCTCGCTTGCAATTAGGGAGTTGTTTTAAAAGTTTAGAAGTACATTCTATAAAACTTGAACATCAAATAGCATTTTTTACAAAAATTTGTTGATTGATTAAGCCTGGAAGAATAAGAAGTAAAGGTTGCAATCACATTTTCTTTGAAATTCCAGTAGGATTATGGTGGAGGATTTAGCTAATGCAATATTTGAAATATTTGATTTAAATTTGGGGATCTATAAACAGGCATGAGTAAACCATCCTTCATTTTAAAAATATTTTAATGAGCAGATTATTATATATTAAAAATAGTAATAATCACACTGATGGTTTAAAATGGCAATCTGAGTACATACTGTTGACCACTTACAATGACAGAAAATAGGTAAAAATAAATGAATACATAAATCCATTATCACATTACAGAAAAATAATGATAAGGTCTGATGGACCAAAAACTGTGAGGAGTCTGAAATATAAAAAGTAGACAGATATAATGAAGGAAAAAATATAGCTCAAAATACAGAAACGTGACGTCTACCTGAGATAGTAATGATTGAAGAGTGAAGGTCTCAGACAGTGCTGCGCTGATAAGTGATTACAGTTGATTGCAGTGGGAGGAGGCAAGGGAGTGAGAGAGGAGCCCTGGTAGCCTTTGCCCATGTCAGTGGTGTAAATACTACCATCACTGATGCTTCAGGGGAGCCCCTTTGAGGTATCTTTGCTTTTCAGGTATACTTGTTCCACAGAAACAAACAAACCAGAGAGACAGCCTTCTTATCAAAGTGGCATAAAAGTTTTGAAGCATGCCCAAGTTTTCAAAGATGGACCTGAAGACCTCCCAGCTTTTCTGCTCTCCAGACTGAGTCTCGTCTCCTTTATGGGATTGAAAGTGTGCCAGGATTCCCAGACCTGGGCGTTGTCAGAGCACACCTGCCTCACTTTTGGGAAAAGCTGGAGGTTCCCAGGGTTATGATTAAGTGTTGTGAACACAACAAAAATCATGCAAACGTCCTTTTGAGGTTTTGCCATTGATGTGCAAACTGCTGAGCTTTTGACTGTATATTCACTCTTAATTGTTAGATATAAAAATCTATACTTAATTTTCTCAATAGCAGCCAATTGCTTATTAAAAATATTTATATAGACCTGCTGGAGGGTAAGGCATTTGTGTAGCATCCCTCACACTATGGAAATCTGTACTGAGTAGCTGAGTAGCCCAGGAAGTAGGATAGTGATGAAATCACAGGCCACTGCCTCAAATAATTTTCCACAGGAAAAAGTCAGGTGCCAAAACATGCAAGCAAAATGGATTGGAATACATTGTGAATCAGGTGGGCATCAGGAATTATTTTCTTTCGCATTCCTGAAGGGCAAGAGGAAGGAAGCTGGGCCAGTATAAACTGGCAGGCTCTTCTAGGCACATGAGTGATGTGAAAAAACTGCAGGGAGGGGATTGGTAGAAGAAGACACTAGAGACGTTGTGTTTTAAGGAGGATAGTCCTCCCCTCTTGCAATGCCACAGTAATCCACTGGGATGCCTCACATACCTGTCTCCACTGCCATGACATATTTGGAAAGGCCAGATGTTTGGCAAAAATAACAAAGTCTTTCTTTCTGTCTCTCCTCCACTGACATTTTAAGACGACAGCCCTCATTCACCTGTGAGTGAGTTGCTCATGGAGTCTACTCAGATACAGTAATATC